ACACGTTCGTCGCCTGGCACCGTATATCGGTGACAGGCATGCTTCCCCGGAGGCCCCGTCACCGAATACGGTGACACTCTTCTTGTTGAAGTTATGGTATTTCTAATTGGAACAAAACTTATCACATTTCCCATTTCGAAACAAAATTATTTTCTGTAAATAAAAGATAGTTTTATATTTTATTATTTTCGGTAAATAAACAATATTTTTATATTTTATTATTTTCGGTAAATAAACGATATTTTTATATTTTATTATTTTCGGTAAATAAACGATATTTTATATTTTATTATTTTCGGTAAATAAACGATATTTTTATATTTTATTATTTTCCATAAATAAAATATAATAATATAATATAACCATAATACTCGGGTCGCATTGTTGATTTTTCTACTTATCGCTTCTTTACGTTACGGCGCGCCGAGAGTTGAATTTTGGGCCTGACGAGAAACTCAACCGAAACGGGCTGGGCGACGAACGTGTTAAACAATTATATAATTTATATTATTTAATACATTTTACTTCTATATCCTTTTTTTCTATATTTAAAATTTTCATTTTCTCAATCCTTATGTTAATCCTCTTCTTCTTTTTATTCTATCTCTCTTTCCTCTTTATATGCGTAGATTTTCAACAATTTCGTATTTAACACGTTCCGTGCCACGCGTACCACCGGTGGTACAATTACTTATATTATTAACAAACTGTTATATAAAAAAATAATAATTATTTTCAATTGAAAGTAAAGATATACGAATTGTCATGTAACTCACTGTGTATATATATATTGATACGTGAGAGTAATACAAGTTAGAAATATATATATATACGTGTGCATTAGGATGTCATACGCTCCAATATTTTTCTATCGCATTTTTCTATGATTTCTTTCCTTCTCTTTCTCTTATATCACATATATAGAATTCTTTCATATATTTTATATGTACATATATACGTATATATGTATGTGTATATAAATCTCTTTTGAGAGATATCAACGAAACGAATTGTCTTACTCTTCTTTCACTTCTTTTTTACGAGTCTCGTATCAAAGTATATACACTCATCCGAATTCGCGATTCTATCATAGATATATCTATATATATATGCATATCTATATACACATTGTAGGTTACATAAAGTCTTTCCTTTTATACCGAAGGATATGAACTCGCATTGTGTCAAATGATAATACAGACACCAATGTAAGATCAACGCGTAAAACGAGTTGAGAAAAATACGCACGTAACCATCTCTATCTTTATCTCCTATCTCTATCTCTATCTCTATCTATATTTCTATTTCCCCGCTCCTCTACGCTATCTACTTATATCTTCATCTCTATTCCACAGACTTTCATAACACAACACACTCGTAATATGTATTATTATACTTATATCGTATGCATTCGATGTTTAACGAATATTCAAGCACTCTCCCACCCCTCTCACAAGCAAACGGTTTTATTATGCATCCAAATTTTTATTTATATCCTTTATATTAGTTTCTTATTGTGTTTTATTTTTTGTTTTACAAAATTTGTCTTATTTAAAATTGTTCTTGCATAATCGAGATATCGTTGAACCATTCAACCCCTAATTTTAAAGAAA